TACCTAGCCACATACCGTATTCTTGTTTGGGTGTGGTCACACCATGCCTATCTCGTGTAACACATACCTCTGTTACCAGGGTACATGTAACCCCGTTACACCCTTCAAAACCACGCAGCTGGATATAAAAAGCCCTCGTTAAAGCATGTAAGCCACCCCTCATCTTGACTCCGCCTTCTGTACTCTCTCGTCAAATCTATGGAAAAGTGTCGAAAAGTAGTAATCAGCAAAACCCTACGTTACTTTTACTGAATGAGCAACGCTAGAAATTAAAGTCAATGCTTTTATCGTGGAGTTGGGATCCGCATTATCCCGTGGTGCTTACAGTTTCTCGAACTTTATTGGTGGAAAATCTTCTTGATAGCTTTGCTCGCACATCTAATATTGAGTGGCTACGACAAATAAGATATAAAGTTTGGAGTGAACTAATTTGGGCTGCAAAACTGTCAAATGTAATGTCATCGCCTTATGATTTAGTCCTGTGTGGATCAAGAATACGCAGCACCAAGTTATCATAATTACGTTAGAGGTCCTTACGTCAAGATGACTTACTGGCGTATGCCGCGAATAGGGCTGGTAAATTTATGTCACTACACAGTAAGTAGTACGTCTATTCAACCTGAGTGTGGCTTGTTTGCCCAGGATACCCTCCTCCTGATTTTAGTATGGATCTATGCTAAACAGTTCACTTTAGTAAAATTTTGCATCCTATTGTTGATACGCATGAGCAAAGCGAGCACGCAAGATCGGCAATGTTTTCGTCTTTTTTTCAAACTAATCCATTGCAGCAACCTTTCTCTGATTTTTCCTATAATGTTCAAGGAGTATTGTTTAAAAATCTGAGCTCATTAGGTATCCTTCCTGCTTTCTGATCTTTATCGTCTGTCCAAACATGCCAGCAAAGGTGCAAAGGTCTTCTGCTGAGACAAAAAGCTCTAAGAAAAAGTTGTCAGCACAGTTAGTGATCACGTAGCCTGTCTTAGTGTGTTCTGATTCTGGCTGTTTTTCTTAACACGAAGCGTGTTTTATACTCTTAAAGGATGTCTGATAGAAATAACTTGCACGGATGCAAAATATATACGCAACTTTTGTATTAAGACATTTGTGTCATTTTTTAACGCGAAAAGCTGATTTTACAGAATAGGCAAGCGTGTCTTGACCAGTGCCTTTTTACCGTCTGTGCTGTAGAAAATACAAAGCTGGCTACTTATTTGCTAAATTTCATGATTTGATCTCCAAATTTATGACAGAGACATCAAGAATGAGCCTTAACCACGTTTTTTATCTGTTTCTAAGTGACGTAGAAGTGTAGACTGTGTGACAGCAACTATGCCAGTTGCGATCACCATGTTAAATTACAATCACGCGATTGGCCAGCACTGGCAATCTCTAGCAATAAAGCTACGGATTTTTTTAATGTCGACGTCACCTGATATTTGCACGATGACATAATTGGATAAATTTCACGCTTGATCATATTCTCGCCATCTTGAAATCTTGCCATTATTGAACGTTCAGAGCCAAACTTACTCAACAGATTCATCAGTACCGTCAATTATGCGCGTGTTGCATGCCTCAAGTATGTTGGTTATCATGTCTGCAGTCATTCATATCGACGGCAACGTTGGCTCGACGGGAACTCCTGCCCAGACTGGTGAAACTGATAATCAATCCGCGACAGAGATAGCCCACCACCACTTGCGAAACCCAAGTAAATATGTGGAGATATCAGAGGAGAGGAAAAATGATAAATTAACGAGAAAAATGTTGGCGAAGAAGGCTCAAAGAATAGCCGAGACATCTGCCGAGATAGAGAAGATCACCAGCGTGCTTGATAGCCCAGCTAAAGATCAGTGGAAAATTGCGTTGAATAATGAGCTTCGACTTAATTATGACGCAGAAATTGAAGCTTTATATAAAAGCGCTTTAATCCGATCGTTGAGGAAGGTTGCCGAATTAATCGACAAAGGTGAAAGTAATAAATATGTCCAAAATGTATTCCAAGCGATGTCCAAAATCGATATCGCCAGTATCTCATCACTCGAGCTGGATACAGAAATGGTGCAGAAGATTTCAAATGCCCAAGCACAATACTCTCTCGCTTACGAACTCGCAGAGCTTTTAGGCTAAGATACGCTATAGATGGTATGTAGGACCTTCGTGCGCAGCGCAAATACTAATACATAATAAGAAAAAGCTTTATTTTTGATTCTTTTTTTTTACGGTCTCATCTTCGATGTCACCTTTTAGAGTGATGAGCAGATCTTAACTGGATGATATGATGTGCCAGAAACGACTCAAGAAGACTACTCAGGATACTTTGTTCCCCTCCTTCAATTATCCTCACGTCGTTCACGGTGTGCATGGGCTCCTTACGACATAGACACCCAAGGTTTCGACAGCGGTCTTTGTCAAGCACCTCGAAACAATATACCTTTTTGGGCCTTTGTATTCAAGTCATCACACATGCAGCTACATAAAACTTACTCTTCTCATTTTTTGACTTTTTGATTGGAACGGCAAAGTACATATCATCTATCCAGCTCTCAAGTCATCCCGTCCTGCTCTTTATCAAGGTGCAAGGAAAGCAACAAACTTTTTTTCCAGTGACACGCCTTGCAGCCTTTGCTTGCTCAAATTCTAGTTTGTCACTTTGCGCCAATATGATGTGCAGACTGCAAGTGGTGAGCAATTCTAAATAATGTAGGGGCAGAGCTGCCATCTCAGAAAGAAGCGGGAGGTTGTGAATGCAACTAATTGGTGGTGTCTGCAGATCGCTAAACGAAAGTAAAAGCTGGTTGATTTCACTTTTAATATATGACACGTTTCAAATAGATAAAGTGATACATACATATGAGAAAAAGGCTATGTGTCGAGTCTTTCAGAAAAGCAAGAGGATTCTATTGGTAATTCGTTATTAAGATGTTCAATCTACTGCTAAAAACTTGTTCGGATTATATATCAACGGTTGGGCAAACTTGAAAAGATCATTTGCCGAGTACTTTAGCCATTATGACTACGTGCTTGACGTTACCTTCTGTTGATCTGTTGGAATTGAAAAAGTTATTTATGTATTCGTCCAAGCATTGCCATATCTTTATCAAATTACTTATCTGTCAACGGTCACACACTACACAATTGTCACTAATGTTCAGAAGTTCATGAGCGAAGGAAATTATTCATACTCAATGTATTGAGATTCCGTAATGAGCTCACGATATGGCAACTCGGTTCCACAAACCAATCGGTTGTTCAGAAATAGCTCGTTACGATTATATGAAGGAACACTGAGCAGAACATCCATAGTAGAAGTCAATACAAACGTTGGCCTTCGACGTGAACAGTGGTGCACTCTTGGCAATGTAAACAAGGCTCTCTTTTACCGCATCGGTAATAAAATGACGATGAGATTGGCTTAAATAACGGTCGTTGTAAGCAATTTTAATCTTTTTTAAGAACTGCAGAAAAAATTCGTATGTAAAGATGGTAGAGCTGTCGTTCCTCGTACGCTTAGTACTGACACTCCTTCTCTTAGCGTTGTCAGTCTTTGCGTACAATTGGCTATCAGCACCATCCGTGCCCTCACCCCCGCTATCTGTTAAACGTTCAAAGAAACGCAGTAAAAAGAAGGCAGCCAAGCAATCCACTTCTCAGTCACCGTCTAATTTATCACCAGAAAAGCCTCAGACGTCTGTGGCTTCGACCGAGCTTCCTCTTTCACTTTCAACAGCAGGTGGCGAAGATCATGATGATAGTGACACTGATTCGGACAATGGACTCTCGGTTGCCCAAGTGCTGGCTACACGAAAGTTTAAACCCAAGAATCTTGGCGGTAAGATCCAAACATCGCTCCCCCCTGCTAATGTTCCAAAATTCGCAGTGAATCAAAAAGTTATTGCTCGATTTCAAGGTGGACCTCATTGGTATCCAGCTACGGTATCGGAGCAACGTAAGGGCAACGAGTATCATTTAAAATACGACGATGGGGAAGTGGAATATCGAGTGCCAGCGGAGTACATCAAGCTTCGACCGACAAAGGCTGACGAAAGTATTAAGGACATCGACGATACTTCTACTGTTGTTGAGTCCAAAACGATAGAAGGAAAAGTTGAACTGCACGAAGCATCGTCAAGCTCAAACTTAAGCGAATCAGATGATGACGACGGCTGGCAAGTGGTAGGGACATCCGCTGCTGCTAAACGTCAGCGACGTCTTATGGGATCTGCTACTCCAGCAGAGCCGTTGATTGACGGTTTGACCAAGCGTCAGCGTGAAAATCGTCGCAAAACAGAGCGACAGCGTGAGAAGAAGGATCTTTTGCGTCAGCATGCCCAGAAGGACGATCTGGACGCTCGCGCACGTTGGCGTTACGTGCCTTCATAGAAGCAGGTTTTGCTTATGGCTCTTAAAGCTTTAAGGTGCTTAGTTCCGATATAACATGATAATGATTGAAGAATGGCTGCAATCCACGATATTCACCGCTTTATTATTCTTAATTGTCATTTCGAGATCCTCCTTTCGATTGCGTGTTGAAGCTTGCAGCCACTTGTCGAGTATGACAAGTCAGATACAAACTCAGACTAATTCTCACCAGCGATTTTCGGCAAGATCATGCTTGATTGCCGCGTTCATCTTGAAATTCAAGACAACATTAATATCTTGTCAAACTCAATGCTTCTCTGCAACGCAAAGCTGATCTAGCTCAAGAGATGATTGTATACAATTTAGTGGCATTTGATGAAAAAGCTAGTCCATCTGCTGGTAACAAAGGCGCTGTCTACATTCAAAAAAATCACGGATGCTGCAGCATGTATTAACTTTAAGATACGAAGTCGTCAAAGCAAACGAAACAAGGAATTAATTGAGATTCTATATGTGTCGACATCGTACAAGACTTTTAAAGTCATTCGAAACTCCCACGTTTTAATTTATGCCGCTCTTGATGCGACAAAAGCACTCAACACTAACAGCTAATAGTGTTGTGATTGCCAATCTAGAGACGATGGAATATGGTGGCGACGAGCTTGGTATGGTCCTGAACAAGGAGGAAATTAACCAACATGACGAAAGCTCCAATATTATTGTGAAAGGCTCAGCATTTAATCCAGAGCCTTCAGCTTCTCTCGTTGTGCATATGACAAAAGAAGTGCGTCGAAATGTAGGAAAGCACAACCACTTGTTTGTGATGGAAGCAGATCACTTGCAAGAAGAAATTTTAACGCTGCGTACTACATGTACTGGAACGAAGCGAAAAGTACGTTTCGATTCTTTAGAATATGGTGAGTCTACAACGGATGTCCCCGTCGTACTTGGTGATTCGGAAGCGGGTTTTCTTTGCTGGAAAGAATTTGTAAAGACGAAGAAATTGAATGAAAAGTCAATTGCGGAAGCTCAGCGATGGAAGATGCAAGTGATAGAACTCAACGCTTACATTTCCATGCAACATGACGAAGTAGCAGTACTGCGCACATGTGCAAGGGAAAAAGACGCAGCGATTGAGAAAGCAGAGGCTGAAGCGAAAGAACTTCGACACTTGAATCAGATGCATTCTCAGGAGATGAATTTGCTGCATGACAAGATTCAACATTTGACCACCGAGATAAATAAGGGTAGCATGCATTTGAAAATGATCACGGAGAAATGGACTGAGACACAGGCCAAATATGGACTTCTAGAGCGAGAGAATAGCATACTTCGGAATCAGCTTCAGGTTGCTTGTCAGCATGCTGTAGAACGAGAGCGCGAGTTTGTCTTAGTACGAGATGCGCGAGATGCTCTTCACCTCCACATAAATCAACTTAATGGGACTGGAGCTGCAAAGACAGCACAAATAAATGCATCCCAAGCTTACAAAAGTAACATTCGTGAATATTTGCAGTTCCAACAAGAAGCCATTCAGCGTCACGCAGTGTTTCGTCGTCTGGTTAATAATGTAGCACGTAATGCCATCATGTCGTTGCATGCGATGCGTGCCACAATAACACAGATACGAGTTCCACTTGTAGCTTTTCAAGGAGATTTCCGACGATTTTTTGACAACCTTCGTGTCCCTGTTTTGACTCTTCTTGACCAAACGTCCCGATATGCAATGGCAGCACATATTGAACATGCTCCGTTGCGAGTGGCTCTTACGTTTTCGGAACTTACTCGTCAACACCTTCATGAGCAATTATGGCGGACGCGACGAAATGCGATGGTTATATGCCAGCTTCAGAATGTTCAGGATTCGGTGGCTGAAAGTACTAACGAAGCCGAAATGTCAGTGGTTCGAGGTAATTACAGCAACGGAGAGCTACTTCTACGTCAAAAGTACGACAATAGAGAAGAAGTCTTGGACGTTCAATGTGACGCAATTTTTTCGGACCGAGGTCGGGAATGGGATCGTCACGAGACCATCATGCCACTTGTTCAATCGGTTTTTGACGGATGCAACGCGTGTGTCATAACCTTTGCCAAAGCTTTGCCTTTGAAAATTGGGGCGACGGTAAGGCAAACGGTTCCAGAGTTAATTCTACGCGAGTTGTTTGAAGCTATGGGAATGCATGGGACTGACGCACGTTTTTATCGAGCTAAGGTCACCATTAGCTTTTTGGCTGTTTTTAATGAGACTGTGTACGACCTGTTAGGAGTTGAGCGAACGCTATCAATGACGACTGACGCTGCTGTCGCTACTGGTCAACAGATAGTAGTACTTGAAGTACAAGATGCAGAGGAAGCTCTCATGGTACTTGCTGGAGGACGTGAGTGTCTTGCGGCTAGTGGGGTACCAGACCTTAAAGCAAATGATGTAGCTCCGTCACTCTTGAATTCGTCACTCACTCATACGGTTGTGACCGTATGCTTGTCATTTGAAAATCTGCTCACTGGTTGTGGACTCAACAAATCAAAGCTTCAGATTGTAGAATTGGCGCTTGGATCAAAGTACGCCGGAAACCAATCGCCTCTATGCTCTGACAATCATGAAGAAGAGAATCAGCGAGTGGCAGCGGACAAAGGCATAGATGCACTTGTGACAGCGCTTGCAGACGTCCGCTTCAAGGATGTGACTTCCGTGCGCTATCATAACTCGGAACTCACTGTTCTCCTTCAAGATACTATTAAGTTTGGTGCGAAATTCCTCGTGTTAGTTGCTCTCCCTTCTTTCTACTCATCTCGCCAAACTACCGAAGACGCCAATCCTGCAGCTATAGTACGCATTCTTCAACTCATGCGTTCATCTATTGGAAGTGATGATCCGCGTCTAAGTTTGAAAAACAATAACCACGATCGGTCAGTCGAAGGTTTCATGAATCGATTAGCTTTACAACAGTCACAGCAATATCGTGGGTATACTTTTCCATTCTCTTCATTTCAAATGCGAGAATACGCTCGGCATTATGCGATTGTACCAAGTTCATGGAGTACCGAGCTCGAGGATTTGACCAAGCGATATGATAAACAAGCACTTGATTCCTTAATCGCAACACCTCCAGCTCGTATATATCATAAAGTTGACCAAGTTTGTGAAGATGAGCAACAGCATCACTACCACACCATCTCTTATCCCCCTCCCGACCCTATAGACAGTCAATTAAAAGTTCCGCGGCTCAATCTCGACCGATCAGCCACTTCGAAACTAATACCGTCATGCAATCATTCCAAAAGTATTTATAAAAATACGGCGACAGCAGTAAGAACAGCAATTGCACCTATGACTGTCTCTTCTACCCGTAAATCCACATGTGAATATCGTCATCAAATGGCTTCTACCGTCTTGAAAAAGACCTTTCAATCTCGTATTCCATTTCGATAGAGATTTTTTTTTTTATTAAAAAGCACGTCATGTGAACCACATGAAACAGAGTTTAATCTTCGTCTACGTGTTCAATCATTGGGAAAGATCTCGTCAATCTTCCCGTCGTAACTTTTGTCTTCTGTTCTCCCGCTCGCTATGTCCATTCTTAGTGATGCTGAGATGCTCGAGCAGATGCAGCAGCGTCTTCAAAGTGTAACTGCTGCCAAAAGTGCCAATGCGGCAGCAGGGAAGCAACTGGATGAGAAGCTGCGGGTAGCATTAAATAATCCACCGCGTCGTCCAAATATGTCCGCTGAACGTCTAAAAGAAGAGATGGAGCGTAAAGAATGGCATCGAAACACTACATCGATGGTCTCTAGTGATGAGCGTGTGTTACTTCGCGAAATTCAGCAATTAAAAGAGAAATTATCGCAACAAGAAGCGTGCGATGAATTTCAAGCTAAGATTGACAAAATGCGTCAGGAACGTCAAGAACGTTTTGAGCAACATAAACAATTTGACACGACACTTCAGCAATTACAGCAAGGTATTCGCAAACTGACGCTTGCTGCACACCTGAAAACACCTGTCGTGGACTTTGTTACGATTGATGTCACGGTCCCGGCCGACAAAATGGGCACAGTGATTGGCAAACAGTATAGTCACGTCCATCAACTAGAAAAAGAGTGTTGTGTTATTCTTGAAGTGGACAATAAAGCCAACGTGATAACAATCACAAGTGCCCCAAAACAGGTACAAGCAGCGAAAGAAGTGATTGAAGATATTACACTCGCCACAACGCAATCTATTGGACTCCATCCCGATGCTGTTAAAGTATTAATGTTTCAACAAGCGAAACAATTGCACGAATTGGAAAAAACACTCAAGCTTAAGCTTAATATTAGCAAGACAGACGGGATTTTGACAGTTGAAGCCTCGCCTGACAAGACAGTACAGTTGAAAAAAGCCATTGATGCTCTAACAGCTGGCAAAGTTGACATTTTATTACCGTTGGATATCGTCCCAAAGCTAATTGGTAGTAAGGGGGAGACAATTAATCAGCTCATGGAAGATACAGGAGCACATGTTGACATTGATAAGGTGACGAACAATGTACGTCTTGTTGGCACAAAAGAGAGTGTGGGGAGTGCCGAGACCTTTATTCGTGAACTCATTAGTGAGCAGTCTCAGCGTGAAAAGAACTATACGCTGGAAGATCGAGAAATATTCAAGAGTCCAGTGTATACTAAGTACAAGTTAGCGTTCTTTGCCGAGTTTTTGATGGCTGATAAGGCTAAACAATTGCGTTTGCTTCGTACCGATGCGCTAGACGCTCGTATCAAGGTGTTTAAAAAAGAAGGTCGTATTCACGTTGTGGGTAATAAGAAGCAAATTGATGCAATGGATGATGCGTTACGCGAACGACTTAAGGAGTTTGAACATCATCACTGGATGCATGAAGTGGCTGATAATCACTTACTAAGTCTTATCATTGGCAAAAAAGGAAGCAAGATTAAAGAAATTGAAAATGAAGGCAAAGAAAATAACGTTCGTATTGATATTGAAGACACATTCGTGTGTGTTTTTGGTGACAATGACGAAGCAATCAGTACTGCGAAGGCAAAAATAATGGACATTATTGACACAAATCAACGCTCCATCTTTGTAACGTCACGCTACTTGATTGCTATTTTGATGTCATCTAAGCGTGAAAAGCTGTCGGATATTGAATCAAGTAGTGGTTGCAAGCTGCATCTGCCTAAGCAATCACACGAAGAAGTAGCCCGAAGCAGCGAGAGTGAATCTGATCAAATTAAAATCGCACTCACGGGTACACTTGAGGCAATACAAATTGCAAAGAAGCAATTGGAGGAGCTGGACGAGGCACATCATGTTCGATACTTGCCGCTTGATAGTGATGAAATTCCAACTGTGATTGGCAAGAATGGAGAGACTGTTTCCGAGCTGGAAAGCAAGAGCGGGGCCAAGGTTCGAGTGTTGCGAGGTAAAAATGACCAGCCATCTGAGCTGGAAATGATTGGCACAGATGAGCAGCTGAAAATTGTACAAGCAGCAGTCGATGAGCTCTTACAGACGCAAAATCGTCAACTTTTGCAGCTGGATGCCTTTGCAACACGCTGTTTGATTGGCAAGAAGGGTGAACGCATCAAGGCGATGCGGCTTTCTCACCCAGAAGCCACTTTAGATGCTTATTCAAACCGTGGCCAGGTTCGCATTAAGGCTGCATCCCCCGAAGCTCTTAAGGCCTGTGTTGATGATGTGCTTAAGACTTTACAAGAAACTCACGTGATTGAAAGTGTTTACATGTCGCGAGATCCCCGAAACGATACAAATTTGCCGCGTGGTACCGCCGGATCTGCAGTGACTGATTTTAAAACAATTTTGGAGAAGCACGAAGCAATTGCTTTGCGATTACAGGAGCTAGTAGCAGAAGGCGGCGAGGGCATGAAAGTATCATTTCAAGATGATGGGAATGTGGCGAAGATCCGTGGTCCCGCAATTGGAATTGGCAAGATTAAAAAATTTCTCGAAATGCTAGTGTCACCAGACTCGCATTTTGTAGAGACTATATCTTTGCCCTCTGTTGCATTTGCTAGTGCTTTGGAGGTGAAGGGCGAACCTTCAAAGCTGAACGAAAATGCATTGCGTATCTGTAAGCAAACTGGATGCGAAATACGCATCAGGCGTTCACTAGCCGCTCCGGGTGCGACTGAGGAGGGTATAATTCGCATTGAAGGTAATGATGCTTCCAAGGTGTTCGAAGCCAAAGCTGAAGTAGAGAATGTGCTTCAATTTTATTATCCTGATTGCTTTCAGACGCTTGACGATTTGTCTCCGTCTATTGCGACCCGTGTGTATGAACTACTGCCTACTCTTCGTGCTAAGTACAACTTCGTGTTCTCGCGACCTACGAAGTCAAGTTTTAAGATATTCACAGACTCTAAGACACACACAGAGGAAATCATAAAAGAGCTGATGAAAGAAATTGAAGCGTGGAAACAGCAGCAGATTGAATTAAGTATTCCGGGCTGGCTTGTGCCTATTTTGCTGGGCCGCAATGGCGAAACCATCAAGAAAATTAGCGCAGAAACCAAATCTCGTCTGGACTTGAACTCCCCATCTTCTTCCAGCAATCGCCACGAAGACCGTATCCTCACAATAAGCTCAAGAGATGATGAGGCTGTAAAATTTGCATCTGAAAAAGTGCAAGAAATGCTTACGATCCACAAAAACAGGTCTTCAGTTGTGGATGTCGCCAAGGATAAGCTAGACATTGCTCTATCTGTCAAAAAAAGCGCGGCCAAGGGTATTCAATTTTACGTGATTGATGGTGAGATGAAGAGTGGCTTACAAGTCGTGATTTATGGTGAAGACCATGACGAGCGTGAGCGCTTAGTGGAGAAAATGGAGCATCATCTCGAGATGTTTGTGGTGGAGACCGTGGCTTTGCCCTCAACTGTGTCTTCTGCATCTGCAAATTCCATGCTTGGATCTCTCATTGGCAAGAGTGGCGCCAATATTCGTGCTCTGCAATCACAATTTCCAAGTGTGATGCTTGATATTTGTCGCAATGACTTCTCTATCACGTTGAAGGGATTTGTAGAAGAAGTTGCGAAAGCTCGCATTGTAATTGAAGACAAGATTCAAGAATTGTTGCGTAATGAGGAAGAGTTTCAAAGACGCCGGAACACTCGCGTAAACCATGAAGCTGAAATGCAAGACAATGTAGAGAAAAGGCGTGCCGACCAAGCCGTTGATGAAATTTTGCAGCCGAATATGGAGCAACATCGACAGCAACAGCAAAAGTCTGCGAAATGTGTTGGTCCGATAGGTGGGACCCCATCTATGGGAGAGTCGAAACTTACCAAGAACCAGCGGCGTCGCATGCGGAAGCGTGCCGAGAACGAAAAGTCAGATGTCTTGTCGATGCTGGTCGGTGAGGGTCAAGGCACATCAACAAGTTCAACGACAAACGTGACTGTCAAGACGATGAATAGTGGGGTGGCCACTAGCATCACAACCACAACAAATGTGAAAACGGAAGGCAATGTTGGATACTATCACTCATCGAGTGGCTACTCGCTGCGGTTGTAAGTAATTTGGGCAATTGTGCTGTGTGCTTAGACAATATCAAACCAAATCAAGTAAATGGTTTTGCGAATAGAGTGATAAATGACAAATAGTTATCTTCAAAGAATTCCTATGATTTGGAGCAATTTACTATGGAAAAAAGCGTTGTCTGCTTCACTTCGAGCATGCTCCATCTGCACCTGAAGTGAGGCATTCTCCTATTAAGTATAAGATCTATGTGCAACATGACAACACCTAAGAGTCTTGAAATTTATATAATACTCCTTAGCGACTAGTACGAGCCATTTAGTCTGAGTATTGAGTGACATGAAATATATTACGCCATCATTCCTTAGTACTTTGCTAGAATGAGGGAATGAGGGAGGCCCTGATCTTATGCTTAGTGCGCCCCCATGCATAAAATAACGGGAATTCTGAGCAAAAGGGATACACTCTCCTAAGAGGCATGTATAAAATCGTGTGACTCAAGGAGTTTTGCTATACTTGAACAGCTTCTGTATAAAATACCATCACAGAAGGACAGTAACCCTTCCTTATACTTTCAGTAGCTTATGTTTTGTTTGTCAAATTATCATCCTGGACAAAAATATAACTTAAGTATCAAAAATGATGCCCAGCATTTTTATCTAAGACTTGTTCACTGTTAAATTATACATTTGACTTGTCAGTCAAGCACGACCGTATTTCGAGACGTAATGATCAAACAAGTTTTTTATTTATCAAGCGATGTAATATGTGTATCAAGTCGCAGTCACCTAGATTTTTTGTACTTTAATGTTAACGTTATATGCCTGAGTACGTGTTGGAAAGTGGGCGCATAATTTTGTGTTTCGTATGAGCAAATTCCCTTACTCGCTTTGATTGGATGCCATGACTGCGCTGTGAGAAATTCATCTCTAAAGCAATACCGAAACTCGTGTGGAAAGCTAAATTCTCTATATCTAATACCGCCGACCATCTCGCCTTGATGTGTTCAACAAAATAGCCGTATTTTGAGAAAAATTGTGCGAGACTAGAAGCGTCTCAAGAGCTAAACAGCGACTCTGATCAAGGTATAGCGTCTTGCCACGCCGTAAATATGGATCCTCTTCGCCATTTTTGTCCACATAAAGACTTCCCCACACGCAACGCCTTTCGTTGCCAAGAAAAAGAATTACAGTACATGCACGGAGCAACAAAAACGCTCCTGTCCCAAGACTGCAACGTTGTGCGTGCTGCGTACATTCGCCGACACCGCCGCCTTCTTTGGCCTCGCAACACGCCGAGAAACAACACAGCACTTGCCCGCAAAATAGACAGAGTCCAGGATGTTGCGGGATTTGTTGGCACTGTCGACAAAATCCCAACGGTTTTTCATTGTATCGAATAAAGAGATCCATATACACGCGAGGCAGCGGAATGAACAAACGACTCGTAGAAGCACCCGAAACATGCTGTGATAACAATCGAACTTGACGGTGTAATGGAGAGATATTTTCGCCATTACCCTCCACAAGCACTTGAGAGCGAGCTTGCTGGCGAGAGACTGCTGCCTTGGCCTCCAGTTGCGCTCCCCATAGCTGACACAATGCACGTTGACTGGACGAAAACATTTGCCGATGGAAAAATAGTCGTAATGGCGGTAAATGAAGTCTTCGTAAGCATATATCCAGTGAGTGAGATGCTGTAGGTGGTTCATCTGATGCTGTTGTAACAAAGAGACCATCGCAAACAGCGCATGACTCGTAAAGGTCGGGTAGTGTGTCTGAGTTATTATCTTGGCTATCGTTGTGAAAGTCGTGAGGAATCGGCAGTACAACTTCCATAAGTAGAAGCATTTGCTGAGCCAGTGGAAGACACATCGCGCTCACTTGCTCTTCGATTGCTGCAGCGTTCCAGATTCGGATTGGTATTCTACCTGTATTATCCAGCAATCGAGCTCGTGCTAGCAAGTTGAAAATCCAAGTAGCTGCGTCACGGAGGGTTTCGACTTGATCAAAATCGCGCACTTCCGCTGGGCTCGTGTCCGATGCTTCTTCCTCTTTTTCGTCCTTGATTGACGAGTCACTTTGCACCATCAGGAACACGAAAGCCTGCAAAATTTGTGCAGTAAATACTATACGAGCCAGGAAAAATGATTCCGTAAACAATTGTTCCATAGCTACATCGACATTGGATGTTGCAATGCTTTGTCTCCACATCACGCGCATGGCAAAACAAGTCAACAAGCTCGGGTGGTACAACATAGGAGTCCCCACGATTGCTGCATCACATGCGTCCCCAGATTGCAGCTGGTTGTATTGAATATTCCACACCTCGTCGTCTTCAAAAAGAACCTGCTGACCAAAGATAAGTTCACTTAATCGCGTTATTACATTCTCGAAGTGCTTGTCAACAGATGCTTCACCTTCCGTCCACTCCAATGGATTAGGAGCAGAAGAACACACACTAGCGGCAACTAATTCAGCAAGTAGACGCATCGAGCGAAGCTGCAATGGGTCTACCGTCTCAGCCTGCAACAGCGTCTTTTCATGTGCCACCACACACAATTGCACCTCAAAGCAGTGTAACAACAATCGCCACGCAGGTGTTTTGGCCCCATACTCGGAACTGAGCTGCTGCAACTCCGAGTCCACACTAGCTTCATCTTGTATGGAACCACTTAAAAGAGTTGAGAGATGCAGTTGCGATCGTACACATCGTAGAACGATTGCGTGGCAAAACACGCTAATCTCACGCTCGATGTTTATGTCTAGTGTCGTTACTTTGTGTGTACTAGGAGAAAACGACGAACTATCTGACGATTGCGTGTTGGGCGAAAACAACGATTTAGATGCAAACGACAATGATTGCCGTCTTAGCCGCAAATTCGACTGAGTTCGGGAGCGGCGTCGCTTGACCTCAGGAGAATCATCTCGATAGCTCATTTGTGCTTCAAGCCACTGCAGAAATGCCAAGGGATCCTGTCCGTCATCCTGCTTTTCTTCTTCCTCCTCCTCACTCGGATCAAATTCCTTGAGTGATAATTCACTCGTAAGAGCTCGTTTCCGGAGATCCCCATATGACACACTGGGGACAAGGCAGTTAGAAAGTCGTCGGCATTTAGGACACATAAACTCCATGTCGCGTTCGCTGAGTAGTCGGTCCTCGCTACTTGCCATTTCCAATGGACTTTGACCGTGCTTTTCCTGCCATAAAGACATGAGATAAGCCTTCAAGCACGAGTGATGAATTGCATGACCACAGCTCCAAACCACACAGTCTGCAAGCTGAAATCGCATTTTATCACTCGATCCGGGTTGCATCACGCGAAGTGTTGGTAATCTGGAGAAAACACCAGGGTTTTCGTCCAAATTCGTAGCACTAGTCGACCCTTTTTCAAATTTTTGAAGCATTGCAGTTGGCAAAATCATGCTGACAAAGCCAAATGGACTTTCACAAGAATGGGAATCACATGGCAACCGACACAAACCGCACTCTTCCGCATAATCACCGCTTTCATCCATGAATTTGTAGTCATAAGCCATCGAGACCGAGCGTTTCTGATCGTCGTGACTTCCACCCATCGACGAGCTTCGAGTACTTCTTCTCCGTCTTCGTCTGCGATCACTAGCTCTTCTTTGCTTCTCCCGCATCTGGGCAATAGCTGATGAGACGTGGTCCAGATACAAGCGAACATCAATTTGACCAGTAGGAAATCCCCACTCGTCTTCTTCTTCTTCATGCACTCCCTCCACATCTTCTTCTGACCACGTCCCGTTGTCGTAACTCTCGCTATCAGATTCTATGACGTCATGACTTCTGCGTATATATTCACCAGCTTCACACTTTACAGCTTCAGAGTTGTCTTGCAGGAATTGCATTTGCTGTGAACGAAGCTTTTCCAGAATTTGTTGTTGCCGCCTTCGCATCAATTCCTTAGCTGTGAGATTTAAGTCGTCGCCACTTGTTTCATTGTTGCCACTGTTACCACAGCTAATCACATTAATGTTCTCTTTCATTGACTTGACACTTGTCGCCTGACTTTTCAGCTGTCTCCGCTTGTTAGCATTCAAATAATGCAAGCACGCCATAGACTTTTTTTCAACCGCTTCAAAAACGAGCTTTATCGTTGGTTGGATATCTTCAAACGCATCGTTCCGATCACTTAGCCGGACGAGCAATGACAGCAAGCTCGCTGTTGTCATTTTGCCATCAAAGGCGTCGTGGCTTTGCTCGCATTCTTTCATCGGAATTTCAGTAACAAGCTTGCAAAAGAAATTGCTATTTTCCTCATAGTACGATGCAATGTCATCTAGAGTTCGATTGTTCTCTGTATCATTAAGCCTCCTTTGAACTTCAATCGGCACATTCTGGGAGTCTGCAGGTGACAACTCAACTGCCACGTAGAGGCAGTGCAAGGCAGCGAGCAGCAAATTCTCATTTGTAGCCAAGCTATTGGTACTTAAATTGTCTCTGTGGCGCACGTAGTTCCCTATGATGATAAACAAGACACTTGCCAGGTACGACGAGTTTAGCATCGTTTCAGCAAGCAATTCGTGCATATCGACCCCGTCAAATCCATGGTTTTTTGGCCATGATAGTATTGGCACGACCATTGTTCGCCCAATATGGTTGCGAATATTCTGCTCACACTGCTGAGCTTCAGAAGGCGTGTAGCACTCAAACAAGGGAGAGATTTGAGCCCACAATTCAGGCTTTAACTTCCATGAGCCGCTCATTCTGAGCCCAAAATTCGTAGAACTGCCACTTCGAGCAGTGCGAGGTCCGCTGCTACTCCCGACAGGGTCGTCATGCACACCTACAGTATCAAGCACATGTGTAAGGATTTCTTCTTCTTCGAGTTCTGCCCAATCGAGCGTCGAAAGCTGTTTAATGTGCTCTACTAGCCTCATATCGGTTCGCATCAGTACTTCACTACGTGTAAACGGTCCCAGTGCGAGCCAGTGCATGATTTCACGTTCGAGCAGCCATACAGCAGCACGTTTCGAAGAGCTTGCCAGGGTAAGTCGAACAGGAGCAAAAACCAACTGAAGAAGAAGACGCAAAGCTTCCTCTACGACGTCCAACTCTTGTCGTACACCCTGGCTACAGTTCGCTGTATTCGCGACATCATTTCCGCCACTATCCGTCTTAGCATCACTCGCAGATTTAAGCACAAGTACCGAGGACTCTCGAATTCCAAATGGTAATTGATGAAAGAAGCGACGGATAAAAGCGCCGTGCGGAAGAAAGATCGCTCCTAGTTGGCACAGAAACAAATCTGAGTGAAGTCCAAAAAAACGCCAATGTTTCGAGTGGTAGTGAATGAGCTGTTGTAACATCACGGCTCCGTTACGCACCCATAGCCCGGCCTTGATCTCTCTCGAGAAAAAGAGAACCCGAAGCGGATGATCTAGTACACTGAACCAGAAGACAGAGTCTTTAAATTCGCCATCATCACTAGTTCCCATACCCAATAATTCCCGCCACTCGCCTATCGTTTTCGGTCGCACAACACCACACATTGATTGAATAAGTGCTGCGTACATGTGATGCAGCGGAAAGTGCAAACTACTGGTTCCTGCAATCCGGCCACCTGGTATGCCCTGTTCATGTTGCTTAACAAGCTGTGCCATGTTTTTTTCCTTTACTACTTCGCCGGGCACATATAATCCTGCAGCTGACTTTGTCGCTTCCAATCCAAATTCAGATCGTCTGTTGTGATTCAACCAATGCGTTAGTGCTGTTCGAACGGGTAGCAATATGGCTCGAGCCAGCGCAAGTGGTCGAAATGTTTCAGACTTCATCGGATTCAGTAGTGGATTACCAGTAATTCCAGTAATTGTTCCTTCATTCGCGAATTTCCCATATTCTGTCATGGTGCGCCAAACATTTGGAGAAAAACACGCAGGAATACCAGTAAGAAACGCACTAAGCAACAACTTCACTTCATAGTCTGCAACAAACGCAAACGTCCAGTTTTGAGACTCAAATTCGATATGGCGATGAATCTGACGGGTTTGCAAATCCATTTGCTGAAGCAACGCAAACGTCTTAAGCAGTTGCTCATACACAGACGTCTCATTTAGGACAACATTGTTATGTCTAATACAGCCAAACGACCGCAAAAGAACTTCAGCAGCTATTTGGGGATGCACAAGAAGTGTTCGCAAATCTGAGCACAAACGAGCATATACTCGTTTTTTAAAAACATTGCGTCCACAGTCGATCGCTTGGACCGTTCGCGCAACCAGAGGCACTTCTAATAAACTTTTACGTCCTCTTGACATGCTACTTTCATCACATTCGTTTATGACACTACGCGTCGCATCCACAAGTGGTTGGGGCATGATCGTCACCAATCGAAGCGTACTTCGAAAGAGGTCATTGAGTTTTTCTAGTAAAAATACCATCAGCCATTCCACGCAGGAAGAAGGCATCGCATCGGTCGACCCAGGAGCAAAACCTACTGAATGGCGCTGACGACTTAAATAGGTCCCATTTGCTTGCTTTGTGTTGCCTCTGGGTCGCATGGAAGCAAACACCGTCTCCAGCTCACGCAACTGAGCGTTGCTATGGAATAGCTGGCAAAAAAGTCGGTCAATAAATCGTGAGAGACTTCGCATGCCTTCTTCATTGTTTTCATCGCTGGCACAAAGGTATAATTCGATCAAGTACGGATACCAGTCTACAAAATAGCACGTATACTTTTGCTTGAATGACTGATCGAAAAGTAATTTTAAGTATAAAACACCGAGAACATCGCATGCTTCAACTGGCAATAATACGCCAGCTTTAAGAAATACATCAAGCGTCACCAAAGGAGCAAAAGTTTGCTCTCTTTCATCGATTTCTTGATTTGTCTCGACAACCAAACGACCAGAAGAACGTGAAGGAGACACTACGTCCAGCTTCCATTCTGATGATAATTCTTCAAAAAATAAATTGGAGATCATGGTGCGATACGACAAACAGCTCATTGACAACATTTGCAGCCACGACAACGTGTGCTCGAGTCGGTCTACTTGGGTGTTTACAATCGACGAGAAAGATGAGCGTGCGAGTCCCGTTCTTGGCATTGATCGTCTTGAATCAAGCGCCTCCGGATTTCCGTTAGCATGTAGTTTCAAACAAACCAAATACACTTCGTTCAATACATCAACGCAAAACGCCATGACGCATCGCACGAGTAAGTGCATCACAGCATCCTCCTCGCTTCCCATCGTCATGATCTGCGAGTCAAACTCATTATGGCTCATCGTGTTGTGCTGGACACTGTGTTTTTTGCAAAAACCTTCTGGTTTCCACGCCAATGGGTCGCCACAGTCACAACATCCCCCTGACGAGCAACGATAGACTCGATAATCATGACCTTCGTGTTCCTCTGGGTCAAAACAGGCCAGACACATACAACTCGAATCCGAAAGGCCACACGTTCGACATCGATACGCCATATGATCACCGTGCCATACTTCCTCACACTTGAGACGCTTGACACTGCCATAATTTGCAGCTATACAAGCATGGAAACCCTCAGGGAGCTTGAACCGGACCGACATACTTGTCGAACCAGTGCTACTCTCCTCCTGCTCATAGCTGATACAGCTTATAGCTTTAATCTGTGTGTACGAACACGTTTGGAGCTCAGGTTGCTCTCGAATCGGGTGTTGCTCGTGAGTGCGACCATGCACTGCGATAATAACACGCAAAAAGAATTGTAGCAGATCAGGAAAGCGCGACACCTCTGTAGTGGCAAGCAACTTTTGTGTTAACAGACGCTTTGAAGTAAGTGATGCGGCAAGGAAGGCGGAAATTAGTCGTGCTTCATCTTGAATGTTACTATGAGTGTGGAAGTGAGCCATCAATTGTTCTTCTAGTGCCTTGTCCGCATCAGATAAAATGACTGAAACATCTGAGCTGCTAGACTGGGTCTTGATAGCTGTGGACCGAGCCAAAGAAGCTGCTACATCGAGCACAACGGCGCGTTGCTGCTGCTCGGCATCTCCAATCTTGACCATCTTGTAGGAAAGTGGTTCTGACGGTACTTTACCGCTTTGATTGCTGAATCATGGAGCAAGATCAGCTAATTTCCAATTATTATTAAAGCATACCAATGGAAACAATAAACTTGATTTTTCATGCCTTAGTAATGAAATATTGTATTTATCATATTTTGTTCGTCGCATTTTTCTACATCGCAACAATCAGATCACAAACTCCACAACACGAAATTTTCATCAGGTATAAAATCTAGGGTCTTTTTTTATCTTGACATTGTAACATTTTCCTTGTTTTTCATTGATTCGATATGGACTTAAAACGTGAGTATTCAGTGTTGGATTTTTCATGGCTTACTTTAGATAAAAAATAAACTTTAAAGTAAGTCATTTTTAGCGTGCAACTTAGTGTTGACGCTCTGGTTGCATTGGCGTATGAACAAATTTGTAGCGCGATTATCATGTTTCTTATATAAAGGAAAATTTATCTCGACGTGAAACATGCAACTTATGTTATATGTGTACGTACATATTATTACACTTCTTTGCTATTGTGCATATGTCAGAGGTACAACAGTATTTGTACTGATGAGGACAAGGGAACTCCGTAAGGATGGAGTATGTGGGACATCCAATGTGATAACCTCATTTCCTGCAGTACATATCTAACAAAGTAAACACACATTCCGTATCAGCTTAAAACAGGTATTACTATCAATATTTGTCACTCTTCAAGAAACGTTTGGACCCTCGCATGTGTGAACCATTCGAACCCTTCTTTGTGTATTTTAAACGCGAAGTTGCTGTATCAAAGCCTCCTCTGTGCAGCAAGGTCCACGGGCAAAGCGTTGCGCACGGGAGCACTTATCGTCGATTTGACGGTCGAGTCATGATGTGTATTCTCTAGGACATTGCAACACGAGTTCTTCGACTATCAGACCTCAAGACAACAAGGCATGATCTGAAACGGTTCGTTGCTTGCCTGGAGGCACTTTCAGCTATTAGAATGCGCTGGTGAGACACCTCCGAGATACGAATCGAAGGGAAAACAATCGGCTTTCTCCATGAGAACGCTCAGGCCAAGCGTCTATCCTATTCGAGTCAGCTAAACAGCACCTCACGCTAGTGGTCTAACCACCAGGAGGCCGTTAAGCGGGCTCATACGTTTAATTGGTCTGTAGACGAAGTATTTCCGCACAAGAAGTGTTGAGGCGAAAGATATCGTGAGTGCTCACACCACTTTGAACAAACAATTGTGTACAATCGATTTTTTTGTCCAACCATAAAGAGGTACCTCGATGCCCATTTCCCGATCACTGCAGGTTTCATATTCACATTTACTTCAATCTGCTCATATAATCATTTGAACTGTTTAAGATACCTCCTGCAGCCAACACTAATGACCTCAAGCTCGTGGGCTACAAGCATTATGTGCGTCAAAACGTCAAAATCGACCGTTTTGATGTGACAATTTTCATCACATTGAATTTTACTGCGCAGATGCCACGAACGTGTCTCGTCGCTTTGCGTGGAGTCTAGGAATGTGTCAGATTGGCAAGTCTGATCAGTCTACTGGGGTCAGCTAGTTATGTCATACAAAGTGGTCAAATGCGCTCGAGACAGAGAAGGCTGTCGATGCAGTGAGTCCAATGCCCGGTTATGATCCAGTGTTCGCACAAAAGTTTGTAATGAAACACGGTCTGGCAGTGCGTGCTGTGGGGATTATAGTCAATGACACTAAGGCTGCGTACGAGATCTCAGTGTAGAATGGCGCCATGGATGTGGTGGAACCTCATTTGCTGACTGACAAGGAGTCGGGCAAGACATTCACTGTGTCGGAGGTTAAGCTGTACGGTGACGTGGTGATCCGCTGGGTCAGTGGCAACATCGCAGGACCTTTTGTGTCTGACTACCAAAAATGTGACAGTTTTCCTGGCGTGAACATTGGCATCAAGCGCCTTGATCATTGTGTGGGCAACGTACCGAGTTTATTGGAGGCAGTTGGGTACATCACAGACTTCACGGAATTCCACATATTTGCCGAGTTTACGGCCGAAAATGTGGGAACGCTGGACTCAGGGCTCAACAGTATGGTGCTAGCCAGCAACAACGAAATGGTACTACTGCCTGTCAATGAACCGACATTTGGCACAAAGCGCAAGAGTCAGATCCAGACGTATCTCGAACAAAATGTTGGTCCAGGTGTGCAGCACATTGCGCTAAAGACGGACGATATTTTTCGGCCACTGACAGAGATGCAGAAGCGCAGTCACTTGGGAGGTTTTGAGTTTATGCCTCGCCCAAACCAACTCTACTATGATCAAATGCCTAAGCGTATCGGTGACGCTTTGACCAAGGAGCAATACAAGCAAATCGAGCAGCTGGGCTTGCTTGTTGACAAGGACGATCAACGCATTCTTTTGCAGATATTTATAAAACCTCTTGGCGACCGCGCGACGGTCTTTTTTGAAACTATTGAGCTTGTTGGTCGTATGAAAGACGTAGCTGGTTGATTGGAACAGGCTGCGGGATGCGGAGAGGTTGCTAAGGGCAATTTTGCTGCGTTATTCAAGTCAATCGAGGATTATGAAAAGGGTCTTAATGTATGAAGTAAGCCAACAATCATCGCTGTAAGTAACAGTTGGTAGCTTTCAAAGTTACAATAAATAAGCATTGCGTTGTGATGGTCTTGGCTTACTTAGATTATGGTTAATTATAAGTACAACTTGCTTATCTAAGTATGTCACTACACTTCAAGCAAACTTCCTCTGTCTAAACAAATTGTGCGATTGCTCAGTTCGAAATCCTCTATACTTATTAAATAAAAAGCAATCGGCATGGTAACGTAGATGGTGGGCTTTGGACGCAAAAACATATGGAGCCAACTTACGGATTCTACTTGACGCAGGAAAAGCATTGTTCATCTAGATTATAAGCTGCATCAAATTAAGTATCTTGCAGTATGAATCTCAGCTATGCTAAGAACGAGGGAGCAAAGCTCCGAGCTGCCACACAAACACACGGCGGTGTTTTGTTTGTGGAGACACCCGTCACCTTCGGAGTGGTTGCCCCCGGCGAAAGACGCGTCAAAATTCTTCGAACCATCGCCCCAAATTGCACCAGTCTAGTTCGTCGCAGGGAAATGACACCACTCAGTAGGCGCGGGGCGACCTACTGGGAAAA